TATGATGAATGCATGTGAGTGACAACTAGGTTGGTTGATGATGAATGCATGTGAGTTAAAGAGGGAGAATGTGGTGAAATGATGAAGTAGGAAGGTAGAAATGTATGTGAGATGTTGGAAAGGAATTGGGAATGCACGGCAAATGAGTGTGTTTTGGTGCTTGAAATGCATGTGAACGCATGTGAGTGCAATATGAAAAGAATGACTAATTAATGTATGTAGGGTGCAGCTAGGTTAGAAAGGTGTGGATTGTGGCTGCAATTTAGGGAAAGGAAATAGGTTTAATGCATAAATAAAAGGGCAAAGTGGCTGCAATGATGAAGACAAGCTGGAATTGATGTGGAAGGCACGGCATAGTGTAGTTTTTGGTGCATGTGGCTGCAATGTTGTGCAATGATGGAGGAATAAGTGCATGTGGTTGAATTGGTGGTGAATGTGCATGGCAAATAATGGATTTGGCTGCAATGGTGTGTAATTGGGCTAGGGTTTAAGTGCATGAAATGGACCCAAATTGCTCCCCCTTGCATGGCAAGGAATGGTGTTTGTGTTAAGCCCACGGCAAGTTGAATGTAATTGGGTTAGGGACATTGTTTTGTGTCCTCAAGTGCATACAAGGCCTTCAATTTCATCCAACACTTGGGCTCCAAGCATAAGCTATCCATCCTTAGCCCAATAGTGCTCCAAAAGGCCCCAAAACACTCCACAATGCATCCTTTCGTCAAACACTTCTTATGATCCTGAAAACACACAAAAGAAGCATAAAGGACTAAAATAACTAAAGAAACATAACGTAAATGTACGAGAACAAGCCATTTAAGTCGCATGAATATGCTCCTATCAACTTGTTTATTAAATTTCTAGCAAATTGATAAACCGGCTTAAAGGCCATCGAAGTTCAAGCAAAGCAAAACAAAAAGGAAAAGAAAAAATTCCTAAATCTAAGCGAAAAGACTACTTCTTATCAGCTTGCGCAAGCACTGGTTCTTCGACTGCCACACTTTCAGCAGTCATGTTATTCCCAGTAGCTAAAGCTTCCATCAGCTTATCCTCAACCGCCCCTGCCTGGACTGCCTAACACTCAACTGCTCCACCAAAGGTAGCCTCAAACAAGAAATCAAGCAGATCAACTGGATAAATGAAAAATGTCTCGAAGTCCTTCTTGGAAAACTCATAATCCAACGGCCTGCCCTGAAGATGGTTTGCATAGCCAAGCTTGTAGAAATAGGCCTAATAAGAAGCAAGCGCCACTTCGTGACTAGTTTTCTCATTCTTCAGCTGCACATTCTCCTCAATAAGCCCAGTGTGAGCACCTTGCAGCTCATCCAGTTTCTTTTTCAGGTGCTCACTAGCAGACAGTACACCTTGCAGATCCATCTCCTTAAACTCAAGCTTACTGGCAACCTCTTTGAGACGAGACACTTCAGCATGCATAAAGATAAGCTCTTCGTCCTTGGCAAACCAAGCAGATCGTAGCTCCTAATTGACATGCTCAATGTCCTCTACCACCGAAGAAACACAACTGACTTCCTTCTCTGCAGCTTCCAACATCGCCTGAGTCGCACTAAGCCTAGCATTCAAATGGGCGACCTCCTGATGAGCGATCTCCAGCTACAAAGAAGTGGGGGCAAAGACATCAAACCTCTTCAAAACGACGAGTTCAAATTCTAGCTTATCGATCTTTTCAGCAGCTAAGCGAAGCTGAGCCACCAATGCCACTTCAACCTCTTTAACACACTTGACAACATCCTGATCAATGCGCATAGACTTAGCTACCAGGATCAAAATCTTATGCACTGTAGCAATCAGAGAGGACTTCCTCGAGTAGGCCTGACGCTTCGTAAAAGAGTCTAAACGGATGTCAACTTTCCCAACACTGTCAACGAACTTGGTGCATGCATCGACGTCCTCAAGCAGGTTAGCCTTCAACAGTGCATAAACTTAGGGACACTCTCCAACCTCAAACTCAATGGATCTATCACAACTACATGTGTGAGCAAATTTCCCCTTCTAAGCAGACGAGTCAATCATGACAAAAGGAAGAGCAGGCCAAGATGCCACCTTAGCAGCAGAATCCACTTTTTCGCTCTTCATAGCAGCGAGCTTCTCAAAAGTAAAGCCAGACTTAGCTTTCGACGGATGCTTTGATACAAATCTGGACACCGAAGGCACCACCGAACTCTTCCACTAGGCAAGTCTCTCAGCAATGGATGCGGTCATCTACAGAGTAGCAGGTCTCACAGGCTCAGGCTTAATGGTTATCTTCGTCCTCTTAGGGGAAGTTAGATCAATGACAAGCTTCTCGACAGCAGACGAGCCCCCATAAGCAGTAAAAGAAGTCATCGGCTTTTTCTCGGCCGAAAGCTCACAGGCAAGTGAAGAAGATCTCTTCTTTCCATCCTTATTGGCAGCAAGCTCTGCAGCAGCGATTGGGCAAGCCAACGCTTCGTCCTTTATCCGTTTTATCTCTTCCTTCGGAGGCAAGCCACCCTTCTCCCGATGAAGATGGATAAGTAGCCAACACGACTGACAATGCTCAACAGGAATACCCAAGGAGACGTATACTTTCTTCATATCAGCCAAAGTCCTTGGAGTTGAGCCAAATTCCGAATCAACACAAAGTAGGAAAGGCGATCAATAAATTGAAGTCATGGAGCAATTGAACAAAAATTCAAGCAAGACAAGAATGAAGTAGTTGACTCACCATTGATAAAGGTAGTCGAGACACGCAACTCAGGAGAAAAGTCAGACTTCCACTCTCCACTCACCTCCAAGGTGTCTCTCGTCCACTCATGATCACCTTTGCTAGAATCATCGAACAGCCTATGACGAGACCTTAGCTGCCCCACACCTTCCTTGTGGCCAATCTTAAAGAAGTACCATAACTCATTAATGGTCAAGCCAAGATCAAAGAACTTGCTTAAGTTCGAGAACCCCACCATCGCACGAACTACATTTGGGGAGCACTACGCAAGTGTGCATTTCATAGAGCAGATCATCTCCTAGAAAATACACGGCATTGGAAAAGTGAATCCCAACACAAAGTAATATGGATGGAATTTGATGGCCCTCTTCCTAGCACAGGCACCCTCGCCGCATGGTTCATGGCCATTATCATCTTTCACCCGCTTAACACGAAACCCTGATGGAATCGCATGTTTGTACGCCTCGAGAAAATCTCGAAACAACTCTTCGGAATTGATCTTGACATGTGCAGCCTTGAAGTAACCCACCTTGACGATACAAAGGAGAAGGATATTCGTCACTTCTGCGGTGAAAGGAAAACATCTCAAAGTCTCTACAAAAAGTACAACGAAAAAATATTTGGAAGGCAACTTGCAAAAAAAAAAAAAAAAAAAAAAAAAAATGATATATGCATATTTATATATATATATATATATATATATATATATATATATATATGTGCAAAGAGCAGCATGGACACGGCCCAGGGAAGAGGAGGCCCACGCCTCTACCCATCTTCCCTCCTCCGTGCCCAGCGCACTCCAAGCAGGCCCTAAGGCCTCTCGGCCAGTCTCCTTTGCTCCTTCTCACCTGCCATTGCAGGCCCAAGCCTGCTTCACCTAACTTGGCCCCCGCCAAGCATGTTCAAAAGGGCTACAGCCTCACAACTCGCCCAGCCCAGCACCTCTGTGCACTTGCTGACCTTGCCGCACCACCTGCTACACCGTGGCCTCCTTGCCGCGCGCCACTCACCACCTCGGCCCCCACCAAGCCAATTTTTCAAGCCCCAAGGCTCCCAAAAAAATTAAAGAATAAGAAAATTCAAATTTTTCTTACCTTGGTGTGGCACGAAGAAGAATAACTACAACGAGAGACGACTTTTTGCAAGGGCAAGAAAAAAAGAATGCTAGGGGAGGTGGAATAAAAATTTCCTCTGGCTTCTTTTCCTTATTGGAATAATGATTGTTCTCCAAATTTATTTAATCCCTTGCTTAAGACAGAATTAAATAGGCATAGGGGCAATTATTTTCCTTTTCCTAGAAGAAGTCTATCTCCAAATCAAGAACGAAGATCAAGTTCAAATTGGGAAGCAATTCTACAAGCCTAAGTAACTTGGGATTCCTACAACTACTATATACCTGCAATACAATTAAATGAACCGAAGTTCAAGGAATAATTAGATATTCTGCCAAATTTGTGCACCAACCATGCATATATTATAAGATTCACCAATATTTGAGCATTTGGCTGCGGACTTCCACTTCCACTTCCACTTCTACCTTCTCTTGTATTTGTTTCATAGTCCTTGTCCGTTTTCGGCAGATTGTCGATTTTCCTAGGCAGTGCGGCGGGCGTGGCCTCTCCTCTGATGCAGGAAGCCATTTTTATATGCCACCAATGCATTACTGTCACGGTATCACCCAGGCGTGGAACTCAGTCTTGCCTACACGTGCAACTTAGAGTTCGAAATCCTTTAATGTTAAAAAAAAAAAAAAAATGAGGGGAGAAGTTTCCTCCCAATTTCCCTTCAATTATAGTTTAGGTTTGTCTGTTGCTCAAGTGGGGAAGCTACTGACCTAACAATATATCGTTTTCTGCCTTTTATCATTTTCGCGGGCTCCTCCTGCACCTCAAAGTGATTACAGAGACCACTGCCTTATTGGGTCCATCGTTTTACTAGTCGATGGCCGTCCAAGACCACTTTTTCCACGGCCACAACATGATATTTAACTTTGACATGAAAATTGATGATTGAATTATTAACAAAATTTGTTAAACTAATGACATAGAAGTTGATGATTGGATTATTACTTTAGTATTGATATACGCACTCATTCTTATTGATGCCACAACATTTAATTTTTTAAAATTTTATCTACAAATTTAATCTTTTTAACATTACCTGTCATAAATGTAACGAATGCAACCACACATTAGGTCTTGAAAGTTTCTTTCTTTGTTGAATGACCCATGTCTTAATAATTAATTTCCCCACTAAAGAAAAGGTACAAAAAAGTGGAGAGAGAGAGAGAGAGAGAGAGAGAGAGAGAGAGAGAGAGAGAGTAGAACTACCGTTGTGGCCTTGTTCGGCTTCAAACACTTTTCAAACTCTATATATTATTCTTCTTGAAGTTTCCTCGATCTAAGCTCAAGAAACCCTAATTAGCTCAATACAGTAGAGACGAGTATACGTAGCAGCGATTCAGTGTAATTAGCTCCAACTGGCTGCTGGAAATCTGTAAGTAATATGCTATATATCATGATTTCGCTTATCAAAATTAATGGTATGCATTAAACAAAACTTACCATGCAAGTATTTTAGATCTCCATCTTTGATTACATAATTTTCACCCATTCATTATCTTCACTTTATTTGGAATCGAGTACCTTGTCCAGGGATCAGATTGCTTGAATATATATATTTAACCTTCATTTTTACCTTTCAATCTTGTACGTACAATTACATGACTTAATCAATTAGAAGCATAACAGATTCCCCATGCCATGTATTGTTGTAAGTTCACCAGCGGTTCTGGAACAAATTAATAGAGGAAGAAGGAAAATGAAAAGACTGCAAAGAGATTGGAAAAACTTTTTTTCTAAAATTAAACAATTATCCCCACCATTACAAATAGGGTCCCTCATATGTTTTAGTGCCGGACGTATGGCTATTTCATGCAATAAACTTTTTGGTAGTTCGTCAACCTGACGTAGGTGAGTGACGTAAATTGAACGAACCAAATTTGTTGGTCTTTTTTCTTGTTCTAGTTTCTAGATGACCAATACTACTCGAATTTTTGAAAGAAATACACTGAAACTTGCTTTTCTAAATAAATTTTAAATTGGCACTCCATGTGGATGGCAAATTTAATTTATTTTTTCACCGTAAATATGTCGTTGTATAAAAAAATTAAAATTATCATTATATTAATGTGAATGAAATATCACTTATTATTGGTTCTCTTGCTATGCTTTAGAAACATATTGGTATATTACAGTATAAATTAGCTGGTAATTCAGATTTTTCTGTGGAGATGTTTATATATTTTCCGCAAGTTCATAGGGAAAAATGTCTAGTCCACAAGCACAATGTGTACCTGCCCCAGCTGGGATCCAAATGGCGGCAGCAAATGGCGTTCCGGCTGCTGGAAATGTAATCATCGGCATTGCGGCACCGATTCAACCGAGGCATCCTTCGCGTCATCTACTAGAAAATACCAACAGTACTATACGATCTCTCTTTCATGCACATCCCATGTATACATACATGTAGCATATGATTAATTGATATATAGTCTCCGTATATAAATGCGTTGTATTTGCACCTGTGAAGGTTAATTAAAGTGGTAGAAGTCTGCAAATTGATTAGTTGGGAAAAAGAAAAACAATCAGCGTGGAAATAAAAAAATAACTTGAATTAATATCAATTAATAATACATAGCTAGGTGAAGTTATATGCTATACATGAATATGAGATAAATATTGCATGAAAATGTGAAGATCAAAACATGTATTAAATAGTATCATTTTATGAAAAGTTGGTTTAAACCCAATATCATAACCATATTTTATGAATAACCCATTTTTTCAAAGACTAATGCTATAGAGACCATTTATTTAAACTATTTTTTCCTCAATTAATGTGTAGTTAATGGCTTAAATCACTTATAACACAAATGTACAATCAATAATTTTTTCCTACAAAAATTCAAAATTTTTATTTTCTTCTTCTTCCTCGTCAAAATTTCATGTTCTTCACCTCTAAAATCCTATGAATTTCATGGCATTCCTCCTCCTCCTACAAAGTTTATGGTGCTTTTTACCTTGTTAAAGGTTCAAGTGTCGTGGCAATTTACCTAGAAAAGAGAAGTTTTTTTTTTTCCGGTAATTGTTACTTTTCCTCGTACTGTAGGTAACGTAATCTTAAAACTTTTCACTCACACATGTTTTAATCATCTTGATGTTGTATCTGTTAACAAGGTATAAATTTGTTATAAGAATTCATGCCTAGCGCTGCTTAGGCCCCACCTATATAGGCACCAGGTTGCTGGCCACCACCTAATTAATCTTTAAGCGTTTGAAAATTAATAAAGGGGCCTAGACCTGCTTAGGCAACCGCCTAAGTCACGACTCTCACTTAAGCATAAGATAGATACTTTTCATTTTTCATTTTTTTTAAATAAATTGTAAGAGACTTGTTGAATACTTAGATGAACACTCATTACATGTTTGCTTCTCGTGTTTTCAATATGTTCTAAAACTTTATAATATATGTCATTCTATTTTTCAATTTATGTATCTTAGTACAATTATGTATTTTTAAGTATAAACAGACACTTTTTGTTAAAAAAAAATGTATAAACAGACACTTATTTATACGGCGTATAATAAATTTACGTAAATCCGCCTAATACGATTCCAGCAGCCTTGTGTCTTTTAGAATCTTGATATGATTTTTACATCTATTAGCAAGGTAATATAATTTTTATGTCTATTAACAAAGTAATACAGTATCGTTCCTATTAATAAGATAATTTCAAGAATGTATATGGGTTCTTAAGGTTGAAAATTGAAATTGAAATCCAAATTTTTAGAACAACAAAAACGTTTTAAAATTGAATTTCAAGGGTAAAATAGTCCTTCCAAATATGCAACCTAGTCAACATGAGACTTATGTGGTTGACCAAGTCTAAATAAAAAAGATCTCATTTTTGAAAAGTATACAAATGTCATAATCGTTCAAAAAAAAATTTGTCATAATCATAATTGTTTACTTTATTATTATTAAGATATTATCCTTGAAAAAACAATTAAGGGGTTTTAACTTTAATCCTTTAAAAATATTAAAACTTAAATAAAACGTAGTGTTAAATTACAAATTAATTATAATTCTTTGATGTGTATTTTAATTCAAATCCATATTCGACTTTTATTTAATACTTGATATGTATTTTACTTAAATTCTCCCATTAAATATTTGAATTAATTAATAAACACATTTTAATTCTGTGACAAAAAAATTACACATTTTAGTTCATTTATTTTGATTAACTTCCTCCCCTCAATTCGTTAAAAATGAACCTAAATGAGAAAAAATTCAAAATAAAATTCAAATAAAATTTGTTATACATAAGAAAAACATAGGAATACATAAGTGTACTGATAATATATATTAAAGTGAATTGATTTACCAAAATATCTGTATAGAAATGTATGTACCAAAATATATTATCATGAATTAATGCATCTAAAGATCTATTCCAAAATGGATATACCAAAGTATATTATATAAATTACTGTCTAAATAATATAAATAAGTTAGTTTACCTAAATGTCTAAAACAAAATATTATGACGAATGAAATGAAAATTACGACGAAAAAGAGAAGTAAAATATCCAAATATAATTAACATATGAAGTGATTAAATGTATGCTGACATACAGTGACTCAACAGACTACAATTAGTTTTAATCTTGCTTAAGGTTTTAGTCTAAGTGTGACATTTTTCAAGGATTAGGAATTTAGGATGAAGTTTTCTAAAAAATCAATAAATTTGGCCAAATTGGAGTTTGTTCTACCATGCATATGTAGCGAACGAATCGATTTTTTGATAACAAGTAATATCCTCAAATGAACCGTTTATTTCTTTGATGCATATGAATGACTAAATGATACAAAGTACTAGAAGGTTTATCAATTTAGACAAGAATCATATTCAGACAATAATCAATCTAATTTTATATGGATGGTATGCCAAATTTTTCTACGAGAGAATATTTGTGTACTCATACATATTCTACGTTCAGAAATTAACCATATGCTTAGTCTAACTTCATCCCTTGCATCCATCACAGGAGAGGCATACTTGGACTTGTGTATGCCCCTTTACAAAGCTGCAATGGAAGGCAACTGGGAAACCACCAAAGGCATCTTAAATATCAATCCGGCACTCTTAACTGCTAGCATAACAAAAGGATGGCAAACTGTTCTGCACGTTGCAGCAGGAGCAAAGAACAATATTCAGATTGTGGCAGAACTAGTCAATATGATAGATGAAGACGACTTGGCACTTCAAGACATTAAAGGAAATACGGCACTGAGCTTTGCCGCTGCAGCTGGAACCGTAGAAATTGCCGATATTTTGATACGAAAAAATAGGTTCTTGCCAACAATTCCAGGTGGCGAAGGAATGACCCCACTTTATATGGCTGCTTTGTTAGGACAGTCTGAAATGGCAACGTATTTATACCCAAAAACGTATAAAATGTTGGATGAAATGGGCCGTAACGTTCTTTTTTTCTGTTGTATAGATCATGGTCTTTATGGTAAGTACTTGGAACTTGTTAAACATTAAACACATCTTTATTTCCCGACTACTATTCTTTTAATCTTTGTAAAATTGTGCAGATTTAGCCATGAAGTTGCTACAAGGTGATAGAACATTAGCAACGGCCCGTAAAAGCGACAAAGAAACGGCCCTGCATGTCTTAGCTCGAAAGTCTTCAGAATTTGGTGATCAAAGTACTCCAGGAATGTGCAGAAGACTTATCAAAACACGTGAGTGAATTCTTCTAAAATATGAATATCAAAATGTGATGAGTTATATAAAAACAAACTGTCGTATTTGATCACCGCACATTTGCCTGCATATCCTTGTGACTATCAACCCTTTTGTTTATGTTGTTACCTTTTTAATTTACAGTTAAAGTACTCCCAGGGATGAATGTTTCTTACAAAAGAAACTTGAAGCAAACTCAAGCCCTGAAACTAGTCGAACGCCTTTGGAAAGAAATGTTGAAACATGATGATGACGAAGTCATGCGTCTGATAAGAGAACCTTCAGAATTAGTATTTGACGCAGCGAAATTAGGAAATTATGAGTTCTTATCTGTGCTTATTGGCTTTTATCCGGAATTGCTATTAGAATATGATGACAACAATCGAACTATATTCCATATTGCAGTCTTGCATCGTCATGCAAGTATCTTCAATCTCGTGCATGTGACAGGCTCCATCAAAGATATCATAGCAACATTTACTGATGATGAGAATAACAACATTCTACATCTAGCTGCAAAACTGGCACCTCAAGACCAACTCAATCTTGTGTCCGGAGCAGCTCTTCAGATGCAACGAGAATTAGTATGGTTTGAGGTATCATTAAAGTTCATCTACAATCAACTTTAATCCGTTTTGCCTAGAAATTCCTTGCTTCTTTAATTTCATTATCGATCATTGATTTGGCAGGAAGTCGAGAAGATTGTGCAACCTCCCTTTATAGTTATGAAAAATATGCAAGGCAAGACACCTCGAGAATTATTCACTAGCGAGCATAAGGATCTATTGCGCAAGGGAGAATCATGGATGAAGGACACTGCAAATTCATGCATGCTTGTTTCAACTCTTATCGCCACTGTCGTGTTTTCAGCCGCATTTAGCATTCCGGGAGGTATAAATGATAATAAAGGAACACCAAATTCCATAAAAGAGACAGCATTTTTAATATTCGCCATATCTGATGGAGTAGCACTCTTTTCCTCCTCAACTGCAATCCTCATGTTCTTGTACATCCTCACGTCACGGTATGCTGAAAACGATTTTCTCAAATCTTTACCGTTGAAGTTGATGATCGGGCTTACATCGCTCTTCGTGTCAATAACATCCATGATGGTGACTTTCAGCACAACCTTCTATTTATCTTGCCATGATGGATTAATATGGGTTCCAGATCTTATATTCATATTTGCATTTGTTCCGGTTGCTTTGTTCGCTTTCTTACAGTATCCTCTCTTGTTTGATATGTTCTTTTCGACATATTATTCAAGTCTTTTGTTTCAGCCAAGGAGGCTTATGATTTGATATGTAGAACTCTCTACTGAAACCTTGCCTCCACAATAATGTTTATATATGTATATATGTTCTAGCTCAGAGTTGTGATTAAATAAGAATGATCATCTATATTGACACAAATGGTTGGCAGTAAATTTGGTATAGTTCTAAAATTTGATATTTAAACTTTTTTAGTTTTGTGCAATTACCACTCGAACTTTTTTTTTTTTTTTTTTTATATTTAACCACCCAAACTTCACATGGTGGCCTTTTAGCCTGATTACGGCAAATCATTTATAGATAATACTTGCATCCCTCAAGTGGGGATGTACAAATCCCCGATTTGGAAAAAATGTATTTTGACCATAAAAATTCAAGTATTCAACAATCGGAACTATTCAATCTCCTATAACCTTCAATTGAACATCACCTTTACAAAAATTCATTTGAAATGAAGATCGTAAAATCATTGAAACATATCAAATAAATGGACGGTTCATCATGTATATGTTACTTGTACCTACCCCATTGATTTATTTTATTCATTTGAATGACTAAATAAGCTCCGATTAGGTGATCTATAAATAAAGATTAAGAAATTTAGCAACTCCAATTGTTATTTTATATGGTCAAGATACATTATACGCAAATGAAAAATATGTGCATCCCCATATAAAAGAATGCAAGTATTATCCTATAATTTATCCCATTGTTGCAGCCAAAACAAGTGCATGCGGATTTTTTCTCCCTAAAAAAGGTAGCGCTCCATTTTCTCTGAAATTCTTCAATTATAGACCCTTATCAACATTAATGATTTCGAAAAGAATTGTATTCTCGAAATGATTACATTTAGTTCCTTGCTTTATTTCTACTTTCATTTTCAATTACTACTTAGGCAAACATTTATTTCTCACTGGATTTCAAATCCTCGTTCGCTTAAGGCATTAAAAACTTAACCGAACCAACGTCCCATTCAGTGCACAATCATTTATTTAAGAAGTCAGATCTACGTGCAAACACAACACAACTTTACACACTGTCTGTTGGTAGCCTCCAACTGTGGCATGCCTATTTTCTTTTTCTCTCAAGCCATCTATGGCACTGATGCGAGAATTATACGCGCACAAATTAAACCCTCTTTTTGTCAATTGTAGTGAAGTGTGTAAGTAGGGATCGTTCTAGACCGGGGATTAGGAGGGCTTGTTAATCACTTGGATTTTGACTCAAAAACGTAAAAACAATATAAAACACTAAACTAGACTCAAAGAATGTGAAACTAAATGTTAAAACATTAAGACAAACCAAAAGACTCAAAATTCTTTAAAAACACAAACTAAATTGATTTCTAACTAATTTGACAATAAAGTAAAGGGGGGATTGTGTTTGGACGAGATTAAATTAAATGGACAAATTGTAATTAAAGGCAAAACGTAAATATGAATGAGATGAAAATATGGATGATGGAATAGCCAAGGGGTTCATCTCCACACATGTTATACTTGCATACAAAATTGATTCTCAGTTGGTCTTTCGATAAATTATGAAACTCAACACCCCGGGTTAATTAGGTCCGCTTAAATTAACCGTCAAGTTTTCCTAATGTTATTGAATTGGATGACATCATTCGACAACCCAAAGCATTCCTCACAAGTTCCCTACATGAATTGCATAATAGAGATACAAGCAAGAATCATTAAGCATCATGAAAACTATAAGTGTTGACGAGGCATTCGTTACTATGATTGCATGAAACTTATGCCAAGAATTTGTTTAACGCGATTGTTTATAAGCAACCTCCACTACTTGTGAATATAAGTTCATAACGATTAGGTGAAATTCACTTATATTCTAGCATCAAATTCATGCATGAAAATTAAGCGCGCATTCTTAATAAACATACATAAATAAGTTATCAATCAAACAGTTAAACAAATTGAATCCACAACTTATGAAATTCCAACGAAAGTTAATCAATTCATATTGCAAATATAAACATAGTTTCGAATCACCCCCTAGCTAAATGGGGTTTAGTTCTTCATAACCTTGAAATCAAAGAAACACCTAAACATTCCAACAACTCAAACTTGAATTGTATGAACGTTTAGGCACTCTTCTCTTCCATTCCTCATACGTACAAAACAAAGAGAATTGAATTTAAACTTTGAAATCAAAGAAACACCTAAACATTCCAACAACTCAAACTTGAATTGTATGAACGTTTAGGCCCTCTTCTCTTCCTCTTCTTTGTAGCATAAGATCTAGGGATAATTGGTTGGGGGGATGGAAGTGTTGGGGAATTATGGAAATGGATGAGGAGTGGTGGAAATGGAAGATGGTTTTTGGATTCTAAGGGGAAAGGAATGTGTTTGTGGTGTGTTGTTGTGTTGTGAATGAGATGATATGATTGAATGGGAATGCAAGGGTATTTATAGGAGGAGTGGAGGGAACATATGGATGTTTGTTTAAGCATTTGTGTGAAGGAATGATGAAGAATTGCATGTGGAATTAAAGAATGAGTGGTGGTGTAATGATGAAGTGAATGCATGTGGAATTAAAGAGGGAGAATGTGGTGAAATGATGAAGTAGGAAGGTGGAAATGCATGTGAGATGTTGGAAAGGAAATGGGAATATGAGTGCATGTGGGTGAATGATTTGTGGTGCAATGATGAAGAGTGAATAAAGAATGCATGTAGGGTTAGCTAGGAAAGTGGGAATGTGGTTGAATGATTAAAGGGACATGCATGTGGCTTGTTTGATTGCTTGGTGAGATGATGCATGCTTGTAGTTTAGGGTGTTGAATATGGATTTGCATGGCATTTGAATTGATTGTGGGCTTTGGAATTGGAAGGAAATGCATGGCAAAGGGCTTGGTTTAAGAGAGAATGGGCTAGGCCCTTTGTTTTATGTCCAAAGTGAATACAAGGCCTTCAAATTCGTCCAACATTTTGGCTCCAATCATATGCCATCCATTCCAAGCCCAATTTTGCTCCAAAATGCTCCAAAATGCATCTTTTTTCTTCCTTAAGCCCTTAGAACCTGAAAACACACAAAAGAAGCATAAAGGACTAAAATAACTAGAGAAACATAACGTAAATGCACGAGAACAAGCCATTTAAGTCGCATGAATATGCTCCTATCAAACTCCCCCACACTTATCTTTTGCTAGTCCTCGAGCAAAACAGAAAGAAAAACAAAACAAAACGAAACGAAACAAAACAAGTAAAACACACCTAAACCTTCCAACAACCGTCTTAGGGATTTCCAATGCACATGACAAGTTAAAAATCATCATTCCCACAGATTTTAGTCATCTTCACACTTAAGTACATTCTTAATCATAGTCACCATATACTAGTTCACAATTAAGCATTTAAAACCATGTTTTGAATGTAGTAACATGCCTTAGAGAATTTGCTCAATTCCTTACAAGATATGCACTCGATTTTCACTCAGATTTTCTAACTACACACCCTAATCTAGTCATATGTGAGAAGATTGATGTAAACATGAAAACGAACACTCACATATATGTATCACAAAGAACGCAATTTCTGGAGTTAATAAGCATGTTTAGATATGATCTCATGAATGGAATGCTACTACTTAGACGCGAGAACCAGTGACACCATATGCTCATACCAAATTCAAACTCCACAATTGAAATGCACAACACTCAAGATAGAAGTCAAGGGTTGTAACGGGGCTTGGGATATTGGCTCACAAGGAAAGGTAGGGATAAACAAAAGTTCTTTAAACAATAGCAAGCAAAGTAATGAAATTAAGGCTTAGAATTCACTTGGCATGCAGAAATCAACTTTTAGACATAAGGGGGAGATTCAACAACTCTTAGGGCCTAATTTATTGTTTTGGGCCCTTACTTCAACCAACAATACTTTTCAACTCTTTTTTTTTTTTTTTTTCTTTTTTTTTCTTTCTTTCTTTTTGGCCGTGCCTATGGCACATCAACTCACATAAACACTCTTTCCCCCACACTTATTTTCTGCAATACCTTAATCAAAAGGAATTCATTGCTTACTATGCTTCAAGAACAAGGGTAAGGACGGTCATATTCTAGGTTAGGTGAGGATAAAGTGGGTTAACAAAGAACATGGGCTAACATGGCTCAACGGGGGTAAAACTTACAACATATACGAAATATGGGAAGTGAGGCTATTTGGCTATGGTGGCAACTACACAACTTCATCTTGATATATGTTATGCAAATCAATAACATGCTTTGAATGAAATGGGCATGAGTTCTAGCATTTGGAACTATATGATGAAACGCCTTCTAAGTAGTATCCAAGCAAAGAATAATGAGATCATGCAACAACTTTGGAAAACAAGAAATCACAGATTATACTCTCCAAAGAACGTTATAGGCTCAAGTCTCTCAGGGTTGTAGCGTTTGTTTGAGTTCCTTCCTTCAAGCATGTTACATGACTAATTTTTTTTTTTCTTTTATGATTGCATGTGAAGTCATACATTATAACCATAACCAAGCATATACCAAGAGTAAATCAAACTTTTCTCCATGTTTATAACTCTTTTTAACAGTCATGCAATTAAAAACCAAATCCTTATCATTGTGTTGGAAGGTGACCTACGACACAAACACACAAAAATGACTCAAAACACTCTTTTTAGGCTTTTCAAAACATGTTTTTCAAATTTTTATGTGATTTTCAAATTTTTAAGTCAAAACACACTAAACACACTTAAAAACAGCAAGAAACAACATTTGAAGTTATGGTGGATAAAATCCTACGAATTTGCATTAAAACACTTTAGTAACTCCCCCACACTTAAATCAAACATTGTCCTCAATGTTAAAAACCACACTAAACACAAACAAACAACAATTAAACATACTAAACATGGCAGAATATATTTAACAAAGAGAAGAGTTTAGAGATGCAAATCTGGTTATGGAGTTTTCGTTCCATTTTCTCCTTGGTGATTGCAGTGAGGCTTGGATCTTTGTGATTCCACAGGCTTACTCTTGAACTGCGCTGCTCCCATCGTTGATTTTCCTTTGTGCTACTCTTGAACTGGGCAGCAGGCTTCCTTTGGTCTCCCCCGAAGGTCTGAGCTTCCTTCTCTTATCTGTTTCTTTGTTCAATCTCTCCAATTCGTATTGA